GCGCCCTCGCCGAGCCTCCGCAGACGCTCGCCGAGGCCCTCGCCCGCGCCGCTGGCGCGGCGCGCGGCCGCGCCACCGCCCAGGGCCGCGCTGGCCCGCGCGGCGGCCGCCCTGGCGAGCTGCGCGCCGCCCGCGCGGCGGGCGGCCGCGGCCGATGCCGTGGCGGTGCTGAAGGCGGCGCTGCCCCGCGGCAGGGCCGCTGCGGCGCCGCCGCCCGCGCAGCGGGCCGCGGCCGCGACCGCGGCGGCGCCAAGGGCGGCGCCGCCCCTCGGGAGGGCCGCCGCGGCGCCGCCGGCGGCAGGGGCCCGGACTGGCCTTGACTTGGAGGAGCAGGGGTAGGGAGTGGACCGCTGCAGACAACGACGGCGACAGGATGAGTGAGAAACCACGGAGCGAGCCCCTTCGACCAAACGATCAGCGAGGTCATCTATGTGAGCGGGGCCGAGCTTCAACAGGCACACAGCGTAACGGTCTGGACGACACGCGCGAGGCCCAGAGCGGCCCGGTCGATCGATCGATCGATCGATCGTCGTCTTCGTCGTCGTCGTTTCGGGCGGCTGCGGGCCTCCACGGCTGTCGCATGGGCTTGCCCTTTTCTGGAAGCCCCGGAGCTGGGAGCTGGGAGCTCTGGCCCAGAACGCCCGCCGTCGTCGGCGAACCCCCCCCCGCCCGAGCCGTCGTCGCGCCGAACCGTCGTCGGCGAACCCCCCCCCCCCCCTTTCCCCGGCTCGCGCCCCGGCTCCGGAACCCCATCCCTCCCGCCCCGACCCCCCCGAACCCCTAACCTCTAACCCAAACCCTGAACCCTAATCCTTAATCCCTAACCCGAAGCCTAAACCCTAACCGTAGACCTAACCCTGACCCCAAACCCTAACACGAAGCCTAGCCCTAACCTAAGCTCTAAACCTGAACCCTTAACCCTAACCCTCAACCCTATCCCTACACCCTAACCCCAACCCTACCCCTCACCCTAAACCCTAAACCCTAACCCTAACCCTAAACCCTAACCTCAACCCCAACCCTGACCCTAAACCCTAAACCCTAGCCCTAAACTCTAAACCCTAACCCTAAACCCTAACCCTAACCCTAAACCCTAACCCCCAAAACCCTACACCCTAAACCCTGACCCTAAACCCTAACCCCCTAACCCTAACCCCTACACCCTAATCCTTAACCCTAACCCTAACCCTAAACTCTAGCCCTAACCCTAACCCTAAACCTTAACCGTAACCCTAAACCCTATGACCTAACCCTAAACCTTAACCCTAACCCTAAACCCTGAACCCTAAACCTTAACCCTAAACCCGAACCCTAAACCCTAACCCTAACCCTAAACCCTAAACCCTAACCCTAAACCCTAACCCTAACCCTAACCCTAACCCTAACCCTAACCCTAACCCTAACCCTAAACCCTAAACCCTAAACCCTAAACCCTAAACCCTAAACCCTAAACCCTAAACCCTAAACCCTAAACCCTAAACCCTAAACCCTAAACCCTAAACCCTAAACCCTAAACCCTAAACCCTAAACCCTAAACCCTAAACCCTAAACCCTAAACCCTAAACCCTAAACCCTAAACCCTAAACCCTAAACCCTAAACCCTAAACCCTAAACCCTAAACCCTAAACCCTAAACCCTAAACCCTAAACCCTAAACCCTAAACCCTAAACCCTAAAAACCCTAAAAACCCTACCCTAACCCTAAACCCTAATAAACCCTAAACCCTAAACCCTAAACCCTAAACCCTAAACCCTAAACCCTAAACCCTAAACCCTAAACCCTAAACCCTAAACCCTAAACCCTAAACCCTAAACCCTAAACCCTAAACCCTAAACCCTAAACCCTAAACCCTAAACCCTAAACCCTAAACCCTAAACCCTAAACCCTAAACCCTAAACCCTAAACCCTAAACCCTAAACCCTAAACCCTAAACCCTAAACCCTAAACCCTAAACCCTAAACCCTAAACCCTAAACCCTAAACCCTAAACCCTAAACCCTAAACCCTAAACCCTAAACCCTAAACCCTAAACCCTAAACCCTAAACCCTAAACCCTAAAAACCCTAAACCCTAAACCCTAAACCCTAAACCTCGCTCGCACCGGACCCCTGCGGAAAGGGGGGGAGGGGGGGGGGGGTCCGAACCCCCCCCCCCCCTTCAAGGGGGGGGGGGGGGGGGAGGGGTTCCGAACCCCCCCTCCCCCCTTTCAAAGGGGGGGGGGGGAGGGGTTCGAACCCCCCCCCCCCTTAAAGGGGGGGGGGGGAGGGGGGGTCCTCGGACCCCCCCCCCCCCTTAAGGGGGGGAGGGGGGGGGGGGGGTTCCCTGGAGCACCCCCCCCTTTTGTGTCTTCCAGGTGATCCACTGGCGCTCTTTCCTCTTTGTCGTCGCCCAGAGAGAACGACTCTGGGGCAGACTCGAGGGGGCAACAAAAAGGCAGCACCACAGCGAAACAGAGACACAGGTCCGGCCCCATCCCGCTCCGGGCGTGGACGCGCTGGTCGACTTGCGTACTAAGACGTGTCGCACATCTCAACAAACAGACCCAACAGACCCGTGGCCAGGAGGGACACACGTGCACGCGTCCACTGTCCTGACCGACACCTCCGTGGCCAGGACGACGCTGAGAGCAGGACGCGGAGGGAGAAGAGAAACGGGAAGACGGCGGCAAGGGCGAAACCATGACAAGGGGAGAGAGCACGATGGTGGGATAGAGGTGAGATGCGCCGAAGAATGGCCAGAGCAATAGCACAAGTGCAGGGGGCAAGGGGTAAGAGCGAGTGTCGGAGAAGAGTGAGTAAGAGCAGAGCGAGGAACTGGAAAAGGAGTGGGAGAAACATAGGGCCAAGGGTGAGGACAAGGTGGGAAGAAATCATGGTGAGGGAGGGAACAAGTCATGCATGACAGCCCCATTCTCCCTCATCCATCTCCCTGAGAAGCACCTCGGGTCAAGAGTAGCCCAGGGCCACGCAAACAAGGGCTTTGATACGTCAGAATGTTGGCACATCCAGGGAAACTGCAGCCATGGGTCGAAACCTTATCGACTCTTTGGTGTTCTCCCGCTGTGTGTGCGTGTCTACAATCCCACCAGCGCTCTGGGCGGAGGTGGTCTGGCGCGTTTCTTCCACCACCTTCCTAATTAAAAACCTCTCCCGGCCCTGTCCCCTGAACGTCGTCGCACTCCTCTGCAATGCCCTGCAAAGCCCCAGGCCTACTGAAGGACCCCCCTTCTTTGATCGAGCTCCTCCGAGATGGCCCCAAGATGGCCTGCGAGGCTCCCAGGAATGCCCCAAGAGGCCCGCAAGTTGCCGCCGAGATAGATGCCCCCAAAAGGGTCCCAAGAGACGCCCAAGAGGCCCCCCCGAAGTACCCAACACGTTTCAAGAAGGACCGGGGCCGCCAAGAGGCCCCAAGACGCCCCAACCGGCCTACATAATCTCAGGAGACATCCGAAGAGACTCCGAGAAGCATCTAAAAATCCTCTGGCCTTTCTGTTCGCCCTTCTATTCCTCTTCCTCATCCACCTAATCCTCCTCCTCCTCCTCCGCCTCCTCCTCCTCACTTCTCCATCCTCCCTCCTCCCCTTCGCCCTCATTATCCTTCTCCTCCTCCTCCTCCTCCTCCTCCTCCTCCTCCTCCCTCCTCTGGTTCCTCCTCCATCCTCCCCCTCTTGGGGTATGACGGCTTGCCAGCCTGTATTCCACTGCGTGCTCCCCCACGTGCCTGATCAGAGCGACTCGCCTGGGCGTCGTTTCTAGATGGGCTGGTGAGGTTACTTTTTGGTACGCGGGTGCGCGAAGCTACGTCGAACGCCGAGCAGGCTAGAATAATCCTGATATGCAGGATCCTCGTTTCCAGGGGCCCGCACAACGAGAGCTTTCGGCGCGCCGGGTGCAGCACACGTGCGTCAGCTTCTTCCATCTGGTTTCTTGGTAAATGGCACACACCTGTCGCACCGCTTGAGGTTCCTTCACCGTCAGCGGTTAACTACACGGATGGGGGACGGCTGGCCCTTGAAATAGAGCTGTCGCCTGAGGCCCGGCTCAGCATTTACTACCTCAGCGAAGCATGCAACAGCTTAGTACACGGATGGACTGCGGCTCATTCTCAAAATCGGGCCCTGGCCGGAGACGACGTTAGATCAGATGGCCAAAGGCCTGGCACTGCGAAGCTGGTGGAACAGAAGGAGGGCGGTCCTATTTCGAAGCTGGGATGCCGCAGCACACGTCCTCCAGCACTGTGCGCCCGCCTTGCCGCATGATGGCGAGCTCCCGCCCGGAAGGCGGGCGCACGGGCGCTCGTCTTTTTCGAAGGGGGGGGGGGGGGGGGGGCGCTTCGCGCAGCGAGAGGGCTGGCTGTGTGGACGACCTGGGGCGGGGGGGGGGGGGGGGGGGGGGGGCGTCTTGCAGCATCGTTGCTACACCTCGGGTCTGCTCCTGGGCCCTCCTCCTCCTCCGCCGAGATCTCCCAAAACCTCTGCGGAGGCCTGCAGAGCGCCCTGCCCTGGAGGCGCTCGGCGGAGGCACCCACAGGCCGCTGGAGGCCTGGGCCAAACATACACACACAAAACACGAAAGGAACAACCAGCCCGAGCACAACACAGCACGAAGCATGCCCGAGCGAAACATGCAAGAGCATCCAAACCTGGCTCGATCCTAGGCCTCCAGCGCCTCCTTCGCCATCGGTCGTCGATCCCCCGCCTCCGCTCCTGCCCCCGCCACCACCCAGCACGGCTTCGGGGACGCGCGAACCCAGGTCCGCACAAACCCGGATCGGCCAGGGCCCTGTCGCCAAGCCCGGCCAGCAGCTCAGTAGCTCCCAAACCTGGGCAAACGGGGGAATCGGCCCCACGTGGCGCCCCAAACCTGAGTCAGCCAGGGGGGATTGGCTGCTCCCCGTTGGCGCCGACACCTGTCGCGTGAGTGAAGGTGCCCCGGACACGTGAGTGAACATGGGGGATCCTGGGATTTGGAATCCAAGGATCCCCCAGGTTTTCCATCTTTTCTGGATGCTCGTCTTCCACCCCACTTTTCATGTATCCTGGGGGTCGACGACTACACGTTTGTGTCTGCGTGAATTTTTCGCTCCTGAGCCCCGACGGTCTTCTGGAACGAGCCGCGCCCAGCGAGGGCCTCACGCTGGCGAAGCCCTCAGCCGAACGACCGGCCCCTCAGCACGTACGGGGCCATCAGGCTCCAGCCGTACAGCGCCAGAGACCCGAATACCACGGCGGTGTGCACGCCGTGCGCCAGGTCGCCCGCCCTCGGCGCCAGCGCGGCGGTGAGGTAGACGCCCGCGGCAGCGTGCACGGCGCACTGAAGCCTGAAGTCCCTCGCGTCTGCGGCGCCCAGAGCCGAAGATGAGGAGGATCGAGGAACAAACAATGACATGAACATAAACTCTCGGATGTCCGACATCTGATGTTTACAATCAATCCGTATAGCAAGGATGCGCGGTAAGGATGCAAGGGCCTTGGAGGGCCATGTCAGCGCTTTTCGAACGAGGCTGGTCAGCGAAAAAAAAACGCGGAGGATGGGCCGAAGGGGCAATGATGCAAGGGTACCCTCGCAAAGTCGCTCATCCTCACTAGTTATGCGGATCGACTGCACGGCATTGTTTGTTCCCCGAGAGGAGGAGGAGGAAGAGCTGGCCGGCCCTGACGACGGAGGCCGCCCAGGCGGGGCCCGAGCAGGCGGGGTCGGAGGGCCGCACGGCATCGCCGACACATCGGCGCTGCGTCGGCAGTGCGGTGGCTGTGAGAGCAAAAGACGACATACGACGGGTTCGTGCCGTGCCACTGGGGCGCACAAGGACGTACTAGTACTGTGTGTCCTCCTCGGGGGCGCGCGTCCGAGTAGCCATCTTGTAAAGTATCGCTTCCCGAGCGGTACGGCCAAAAAGTGCCCGCCACGGAGCTTACACTAGAAGATTTCTCAGCGTCGGCGGCGACGCACACATAGAAATCTTATGTCGGTGTGACGCCGATGCCAACGGTGGCGCTGGTTCCTGACACCGCGCGGACTGTTCAACCTCGAACAATCGGCACCTTTCCGATCACCAAATTGTTCAAGATCGACCGGTTCTGGGCCACTGGCGGCGTTCAACGTTGAACGCCAGCGACGGGGTCGCCGCCGGTCGGCACGACGCGAACCTGCCTTAAGCTTATGTTGTGACAAACGAACATAGGAAAACCACAGCCCAAAACAAATGCGAGCACCCCGGGAAATGTCGAAACAATGTCTGCCCGACACGCTGGCAAAGTCCCGAACGAGCATCGCCTCCCAGGGCCCGGCACGTGAACACCCTCCCATTTCGACACTCTCTTGATGCTTTACATTATTTGTGGGGATCAAGGCTGAGGTAGCTTGGAACATCAGAACCGTAAGCACAGGCCTTTGGAGGTCCGCGCGGATTTCTTGGATCCACGCAGGGGCCCGTCATCGGCGCGCGGAGCCCGCAATGGGTCACAGGCGCCGCCACGGGGCCCCACCGCGGGATCCAAAAGGGCCTTGCGGAGAACCACGAACTTTTGCTTGTGCCGGGTTTCCTTCTTCGAGTCGCGCGATCCTCCGACCCGTCTGCCCCCGCCCCATATGGGCGGCCTGGCTGACGAGCCGGCCTCGCCGCACGCGCCCGCGGCGGGGTCTGGGCCATCCTGGTCCGCGGCCGCGTCGGCGCCGCCTGCGCGCCTCGAGAACAGAAGCAGTGAGACGGCGCACACAGACAGCGAAGCCCAGGCCGGCAGCTCGGGGCCACGGCCGCCGGGCAGCAACGACATGGCCTCCCACGTGAGCCAAGCGTTGTACGCCATGACGACGCAGGAGGTCAGCAGCGCGCCGTGCTTCACGTGCTCCGTGATGCTCACAACGAGCAGCACGGCCGCCAGCACCCACGCCACAGCGGTGACGCTTCGCGCACGGGCATCGGGGACGGCGATGAGCAGGCATATAGTCCCAGCGATCGAGCCGAGGAGGAGCAGCGCCGAGGCGACCAGAATTCCCATCTGCCAGCCCTGGAATCCGCTGGACGCGCGCGCGCCGCGCCGTGCCTCCAGAGCTTTGGCGTACCAGTCCTCGTTCCATGCGTACGCGAAGTCGATGAGCATCACCGCCTGCACGGCCAGAAAGACGGCCGAGGCAACCGTGGCAAAGGCTCCGAACGTGCTCAGGACGTCGTTCCCCACGAACAGCAGCACGAAGCCGATGAGAGGCACCGCCATGAACTTCGCCACGGCAGCCGATCGAGACGCGCCCTCTGCGCAACCGCCGGCAGCCATCAGCAGCAGCGCGAGGAACACCGCCACGCCAGCCGCCTCGGCCCGGTACACGAGCTGGTCGGCCCAGCACGCCTCGTCGCCCGAGCAGCCGCAGATGCCCAGGTCGCCCGCACCCACGGCCCGCAGCCTGCCGCAAGCCCAGGGCAGCCAAAGGGTCGGGGTCGCCGACGCGACGGTGGCGAGCGCGGCCGTGAACGCTTGCAGAAGCACGATGACGCTGCGGACGGCCTGGTCGGGCGTTCCCCGAGATCCTGGCGTTGCACTGTCTTCACCACGGGCGTTTTCGCCCGGTTTCGGGCCCCTGGGCCCTCACAGATCGATCCAGCTCCAAAAATGAAGCAAACTGCTGGGGACTGGGGCTTCAGCGGTGACTCTTGGCGATGTTGCATCCTTGCATGGTCAGACCTGAGGGCTGGCAGGAGATGATCTAGAAGCATCCTAGATGGGGTCCAAGTAACCGCTGAATGTCTTCAGTTTTGGTCCTCCCCTTTCCTCTCGGCGGTCCATAGGGTTGGTCCTGAAATCTCCTCCTCCTCCTCCTCCCCCATCTTCCTCCTCCGCGGAAAAGGGACAAATAATTAGACACTCCCAATCGGTGGGACCCCAGTCCTTCAACAAGGCCGCCGAGCAATTAATTTGCTACCCCCCGTTGGGGGTTTCTGAAACCTTTCAGGGTTAACTGGGGTCGGAAGACCGCGCCACATCGCCAATGCATCGCCGATGCATCAGCGGTGCATCGGCGCGGCGACGCTGGCGCAGAGGGAGCCGCATCGCCGATGCATCGGCGATGCGGCGCGATCCTTCGACCCCAGCTACTCCGACCCCGTCTGGGAGGCCGAGGTGATCTCGGCCCAGGGTCCCGAGATGCCCCCAGGGGCCGTCGGGGAGGCCCTGCGGCCCCAACCGATTCGCACAGAAGAGGGCGCCGAGGCCCCAAACCTTGGCCAGAAGCTGGGAGTCTCGGACCAGGTGCGCTTCTCGGCGGCGAGCCCGGGGTGGAAGTGAGAAGGGGCGGGCCTTCTCAGAAGGCTCGGAATGGCCTCACGCCTCCTGGGGCATTTTCTAAGAGCCTTCCCCGAAGGATTCTTGTATGTAAGAGACCCCTCAGCAGGCTGGAGAACTTCGGAGAAGTCCTGCCACCTTCTGTGAAGGCCTCCTGCTTCTCACTTCCCCCCCTCGCTCGCCGACGCATTTCTGTCAACGCCCGACCTGGGCGCTGCCCACCTGTCCGCTGCCGGCCAAGCGGTAGCAGCACCCTGCCGCGAACGTGCCGCAGCAGCCGCCAAGAAACGTCGCTGCCGCGCTCAACGGCGCCGCGACGACGCTGCCCATCGAATCTCGCCGAGGGAGGCTGGGGGGAGGAAGGACCCAAAGGCTCCCTCTTGGGCCAGTTCGGCATCTGAGGCCACTCGGCCACCGCATGGGGCCCAGGATCGAGCCTATTCGGCCGCCGAGCGAGTTCGAGTCCCGCCGACTATCGTGGAGTCGAGCGTGCAAGATCGTTTGGCGTTCGCACTTGCTCAGAAGGGAGCCTTGGGGATGGGGATGCGCGAGAGGGGGGGTGCTCGCGAGGCAACCGTCGCTGGCTCACGCGGGGCTGGAGTATGTCGCTCGAGCCCGAGTTGCAACGGACGGAAAAAGGATGAGGAAGGGGGAGAAGGAGGACCGGAGTAAATCCAATATGACAAACAAGTTGTACAATACACTCTTCCTTCCCGAGTGCCCCCCTCATCAGTCCGTGCGGGTATTGATTGGTTCCCACTGCGGGAAATACCCCGCGCAGACGAAGATCCCATGGGCGTTGCATTCAGGCGAGAGCACTCTTTGTGAAAGATCCACATTCCATCCTCCCAGCAATACGTAAGACATGCTGTGGGGTAGGGACACACGGAAGCACAACAGTGTCAAGCGAGGGTGGCGTTTGGGAGGAAAGGGCTTACCCTCCATCAGCGTAAAGCGCTGCACGTTTCCAAAGTCCTTGCCACAATTTTCGGGGTCGCATCAAACGAAAACATGATTCACACAAGAACCCATCTCTCCGCGCAGTAAGCTGTTGCATCTGCGGGCAAGGAGTATATCCTTGTCCACTGCATCATGGAGTCGGACCCCCTTCTGCAGACACCCGAGGCGCAATGGATACGGGCAAGAGTCTGGCGCCTGGAGGCTAGATCGTTCTCCAGATCCACTGCGCCTCGGCCTTCCAGCGCCCCTTTCCCAGAAAGTCCAAGGCGCAAGGGATATGAAGAACACTCTCGCCCGCACAATCTCGCACTGAAGGCATCTCGAGCGAGAGCCCCGCGCTGATCATGAGCCGCTCTCCTCCGTGCGTGTAGCTGCTATATTTGCCAAGGGCACCTAAGTTCGCACTTCTCGCTGCGCGAAGGGGGAAACACTTCGCGCTCTCGCGCCGCCCCCCAGGGGAGAAGAGGACGATGGGAATCGGAGTCGAATCGCGAAGCGCGAAGAACTTCGCGCCCGCTTGGGCGCACTTCACCTGTGCAAGGCGAGCGCGCACGGCGCCGAGGCAAAGAGCCGCATGCTGACGAACGGCCGCCCTCCACCTGCTTTAGCTGCTGGGTGCATCAGACGAGCGTACGCGGCGCCAAAGCCAGAACCCAAAACTCGAGGACGACCTGTGCTGCACCCGTGCGCATGTTGGACACTCCCCGCTCGGGCAACACAAGTTGAGGTGATGCCTCGTCCGAAGCGCCTGGCCCGCCCCAGCGACACGCCGGGACGGTGGTGAAGCAGGGTGGGGTTGGCTTGAAGAGGGAGGGGTGGAGGAGGGGGGAGAAAGGAGGAATAAGGAAACAGCAGAAGGCGGGCCTGGGCGAAGGTATGGTGGTATGCAGACGAAAAAACGCCCCATCGAAGCCGTTTTCGCTCGCCGCGGAACCCCCCGAACACGCTCGCGGGCTCCTTCTCTTACCTGTCCGCTGCCGCCGATGCCGCTGTTACCGCAAGGATGCTGCGCAACTCGCTGGCGAGCGAAACGAGGAAGAGAAGAAGGATAGGAAAGGAGGAAGAGGAAGTCTCAAGACGATTTAGGAACATCGCAACAACCATCGAGACAACCATCAGGACAACCATCGGGACAGCCATCGGGACAGCCATCGGGACAGCCATCGGGGCAGCCATCGGGACAACCATCGGGACAGCCTTCGGGACAACTGTCGAAGCAACCATCGAGACAACTACGGGACAACCACGGGGCAACGACAGGACAACAGCGAGACAACTGCGGAACAATCGCGGGCCCAATCCGCCAATCAGACGGGAGGGGAGTCCTTAGCTCCGACTTCGCCCTAGCAGTCGGGGGATCACTCCTTCCGCCTTCGCAAGCAACTCCACTTCGCCCGCCCGCACGGCACGAACACGAAAACGAAACCGATTTCCAGGTGGGGGGTCTCTTGCCGCTTCCAGATCACCTAAAACCTCAGAAACGTTCGCCCTTTGGGGGGGTTCCTGGCGAGTCCTCTCGACACGATGAGATCATCTTCGATCCTCCTCTGTCATCGTCACGCTCTACAACGTCGCTGTCGACGACGAAGACGACTATAACGACGACCGACAACGACGACGACAGCAACAGCGGCGAACACGACGACGGCAACGTCGACGACATCGTCCCGAGGCCTCGGAGGGCCCAACGTCCACAAACCTCGATCCTCGATCCCCGATCCTTGAATCTCGGTCCAGAAACCTCGGCACCCGAATCCCAATCCTGGACCGGTGGCAGCCATGATGCTGACGACAACGGCGGCGTCGGTCATGACGGCGACGACGCCCACGTAGACGACGCCGCGCAGACGACGGCGGCGACCTTGACGGCGACCCTGACGACGACGACGACGACGACGACGCCGTGCCGTCGCCGTCGCCGTCGCCGTCGCAGGGCCTGCGCGGCCGTGCCCAGGCCACGGCAGGCCCGCGCCGCGCGGCGGACATGGGCCGCCCGCGAGCGCGCGCTGGCGGGCCGACCTCGAGGAGGCGCATGCGCCGCCCTCGCGGCGAGGCGGCGAAAGGCGTCGCCGCCGCCGCCGCCGTCGTCGTCGTCCTCGTCCTCGTCGTCGTCGTCGTCGTCGTCGTCGTCGTCGGCGTCGTCTTCGTCCTCGTCGTCGTCGTCGTCGTCGTCGTCGTCCTCCTCCTCCTCCTACTCCTCGTCGTCATCGTCATCTTCGTTGCGTGGTGTGCGCCGCTCTTGCGGCGCTGCCGCGGCGGGGGTCGCCTTCGCCGTCGTCGTCGTCGTCATCATCCTTCTCTGCAACTCTCGCGACGCGCGGCGAGGTGGACCCGGGCTCCATGCGACCTGCACCCCCTTTGGCAGGCGGAGGGGAGAGTACCTGCAGGACCACGCCGAGAGCCAGACCCTCCCCAATCCGAACCCCACCTGACAAAAATCCGAAACGTATGGGGGTGCTAAGCCTGCCGCAAGCATGCACATGCCCGCGCACACGCGGGCAACTCTCGCGGAGGCCACTGGCGAGCGCGAGCCTGAATTGAACGAGCTGTCGTTGGAGCCCGCCCGGTTGCGCGCGCTGCCAGGCAGACTGTGCAGGATGTCGTCCACTTCCTGGGGCAGGGGGCTCCAAGGCCAGACGTGCACTGACCTGACAGCCATTGCCTTCGACCTGACAGCCATAGCCTTGGCTCGGGAAAGAATCAAGATGAAGACAGGATGATGGTAATTCCGGATGGGGATATATACAAGACAGAGAGCTGGCGGGTCTGGATGATGCATCGGGCGCCACTGCCTGTTCACAATTTTCCAGAATGCTCTCAGAGCGTTCCAGATTGCTCTGAAGCGATTCTTCCCGATCCTATCTGCCTTACCCCACAACGCTGGTCGCAGCATCCCTGAGGTGACGGAGTCAGAGCCAGTTTGTCGTTTCCGCCAACGCCCGCGCGATCAGCGCTGTTAGTTGGCTTGCGCTGGAGCGCAATTGTAAGCGAGCAGCCCCCCAGAGATCCGTCGCGCGGCCCAAGTCGCGACGGGCCGATGATGATGCTGGCCAGCACAGTCACCATTGCGACCAGAAGGACCATCTACGATGATCATGGTCACGATGGCGTTGGTGAAACAGCATTGTATCGCATCAACAGTCCAGGCCAACGCTCCATCGGCCACACAGCGTGCTTCAAGACTCGGATGGGCCATGTTCACGCGAGCGGTGTAGTTGTTGTTTGGGCCGTGGTGGGAGTGAATACGCCAACGCACGTGAGACCCAACCGAAGACCAAACCTCTCCACGCATGCCGCTGAAAGCGTAACATGGTTGTTGCGTCGTTATATCCGACCAGGGCTCCAATAAGAGCCACGGGGACTGCTTCCTCCCAGGGAAGTGCAGAGCTCGGATGATACTCCGCTCGATGGGCTGCGAATCCATGATCTGGTCATGGTCAAGGTTTGTCCACAAGGTGGTCCAGGAGGGTATCCTGATCCACGCGACTGAGCTGCAACGCGAGGAGAAGACGGACCAGAAGAAGCCCACGGCCAACGAGACCCGGCACCTGCAGCGTCCTCGGTGCTACTGAAATTCAGGTGTCGACACTACAGCTTGACGCGTCGCTTAACGCGCACGGGCCCCTGAAGGTTTAAAGCCTTGTTGATTTGTCGATTTGGACAGAGGGGAGAGATGACCAAGAAAAGCTCATGGCGGACAAAGTGCAGCGTCTCTGCACCGAGGAACACCCGAACAACGAGTCACAGCAGATGCAGAGCCCCATCGTTCGTTAAGGGCTTCATGACTTCTGCCGTCCTCGACTCGCAATGGAGCGCTCAACATGTTCCTGGAGATCTCTGGATGTCTAGGGCCTACCAGCATAGACCTGAGTTGATATGCAATTACCTCACACGTCGATTCGGGAACACACGGCAGGCACTTAGGGCATCTGGGAAGAGTTACGGGGCGCAGGCGTGGTTCCAGAAGAAGCGAAGCAAACCTTCATCGCTCCTCGTTCCCACCATCATCCCCCTCTTCCTTCTGTTCTTCCGCCCCCTCCTCCGTCAATCCCTGCCTCCCTACCTGCTCTGCCCGCAGTCCTTGGCCACCGCGCTCATCACCCCGGCCATCTGGAGCGTTGTTTTAAAGCACGATTGGAGCAGCACCGCTGCGCACTGTGTCCTCAGCGCGCTCCCCCCGCACTGTGCCTCTGCGCTGCAACTCGTGATCGAGCTGACACGGATCAAATTTACGATGGCTCAGGCCAGGCATGTCCAGCGGAACCCACAAGCAGATACTCTCAGTTTATCCCTGCCCTATCCAAAAAAAGAACCCCAAGGGATCCTGGACATCCAGGAGCAATCCTGAACCCTGAGAAGCCCTGAAAAAAACTGGAAGGGTTCTAAAAAGACTCGGGGACACCCGAGGAATCTTGACGAACCATCCAATTGATTCCTGCGGGGTCCTATGGAAGCCTGAGGGGTCGCGAAGACAACTGCTAACTTAAAACCTCACCTTCGTGCTGTCTCCGTGATTACAGGCTGTGACTGAAGCCCATGAGGCGAGCAACGGAACATCAGAGGTCTAAGCATGCCCGTCGTGTCGTCGCATGTCTGTAGCATTCAAACACGGTGCTTTTAGTAGCTGAGTGGCGTTATGAGAACATTACAGTCGCATTCCTGTCGGAATCCTGAAAGGCGCCGGAAATACTAATGAAGCATGATGGTAACGACGACCATCACTATTGTGAAGGCGCTTGTTGAAGAACCATTGGATGAGGAATCCAGGGTCTTGAAGCCAGTGGAACTCCAATCGTGGAGTGGCAATGGACATCTTCGCCGCCCTCCTGCGACGAGGAATCCGCCAGGGTCCGCAAGCACATTGGAACTTTCATTGACGAGCGCCACAAACGCAATGCTACTGAGACGACGACGACTACTACTACTGCTACTACGATTACGAGAACTACTACTACTATTACTACTACTACTACTACGACGACGACGACGACGACGACGACGACGACTACTACTACTACTACTACTACTTCTACGACTACCCCTACTACTACTACTACTATTACTCCTACTCCTACTACTACTACTACTACTAATAATACTACTACTACTACTACTACTACTACTACTACTACTACTACTACTGCTACGAGTACTACTAGTACTACTCCTGCTACTACTACTACTACTACTACTACGACTACTACTACTACTACTACTTCTACGACTCCTAGTACTACTACTACTACTGCCACTGCCACTGCTATTAAAACGACTACCACCACTACTACTGCCGCTACTACGGCTACTTCTACTACGACGGCGACTACTGCTACTACGATTACTATTACGACTACTGCTCCTACTACTACTACTACTTCTACTACTACGACTGCTACGGCTACGACGACGACTATGACTTCGCCTACGACTACGACAACAACTACTACTGCTACTACTACAAGTACTACTGCTACTACTACTACTACGACGACTACTACTACTACCCTTACTACTGGTACTAGTGGTTCAACTACTACGACACCGACAACTCAAGGACTACGACTACGACTACGACTGCTACTACTACTACTCGGGCTACAACTACGACTTCTACGACTACTTCTCCTGACACTGCTACTACTACTACTACTACTACTACTACTACTACTACTACTACTACTACTACTACTACACATACGACTACTACTACTACTACTACTACTACTACTACTACTACTACTACTACTACTACTACCACTACTACAACTACTACTACTACTACGACTACTACTACTACTACTACTACAACAACTACTACTACTACTACTACTACTACTACTACGACTACGACTACTACTACTCCTACTACGATGACGACCACTCGTTCTACTACTACTACTACTACTACTACTACTACTACTACTACTACTACTATGACTTCTATTACTACTACTACTACCTACTATCACTACTCGTACTACTGCTTGTACTGCTACGTCTACGAATACGATTAAAACTACTACTATCACTACTACGGCTACGACCATTGCGACTGCGACGACGGCAGCGATTACGACGACTACAACTACTACTATTATTGCAACTAACACTGCTATTACCACTGCTACTACTAGTAATCTCATTACTACTGCGACGGCTATTGCTACTGCACTGGCTACTGCTGCTACTACTGTTACTACTACTACTACTACCACTACTACTACTACTACTACTACTACTACTTCTACTAATACTACTACTACTACAACTACTACTACTACTGCTACTACTGCTACCACCACGACTGCGGCGACGACGGCTACTACTACTACTACTACTACTACCACTACTGCTAGTACGACTAGTACTACTACCGCCTCAACAACAACTACTACTATTATTACTTCTACCACTACTACGACTGCAATTACTAGTAATTCTGCGACGACTGCGACTACTACTACGACAATGCGACTACGAGTACGACTAAGCGTACGACTAGTACTACTATTACTACTAGTGCTATGGCTGCTGCCACTAGTGCTACTACTACTACTACTACTACTACTACTACTGCTACTACTACTACTACTACTACTACTACTACTAGTACTACTACTAAGTACTACTGCTACTACTACTACTACTACTGCTACTACTACTACTACTACTACTCCAAAACTCTCCCCTACTCCTACTCCTATTCCTGCTCTTCAGCTGCTACAACTACTACTACTACATCTACTACTAAGGGTACTACAGCGAATACGAATACTACTAGTACGCTAGTACGACTGGTACTACTACGACTACTGCTACTACGACCTCGATTACTACTACCACTACCGCTGCCACTACTACTACTGCTACTACTGCTGCTACTACTACTACTACCACTGTTACTACTACTACTACTACTACTACTACTACTACTACTACTACTACTACTACGGCAACTACGGCGCCGACTGCTACGACGCTGACAACGACGACGCCGACGCCAACGACGACTACTACTACTACTACTACTGCTACAGCTAAAACGACTACTAGACTACTACGACCACTACGGCTACTACGGCGACTACTACTACTACACCTGCTACTTCTACTTCTGCAACTAAGACGAGTAATACTAGTACTACGACCACTACCCGCACAACTACTAAGACGACGACGACGGCGATGACAACGAGCACTAGTACTACCTAATACGACTACTCCTACGACCACTACGACACCGACTATGACTACGACTAGTACTACTACTACTACTACTACTACTACTACTGCTACTACTACTACTGATACTACTACTACTAGTACTACTACTACTATTACTACTACTACTACTACTACTACTACTACTACTTCTTCTACTACTACTACTACTACTACTACGATTACTACTACTACGACTACTACCACTACGATTACTACTACTACTACTACTGCTACTACTACTACTCATACTACTACTACTACTACTACTACTACTGCTACTACTACTACTACTACTACTACTACTACTACTACTACTACGACTACTGCTACTACTCCCAATACTATCACTACTACTACTACTACCACTACTACTACTACTACTACTACTATTACTACTATTACTACTACTACTGCTACTACTACTACTCCTACTACTACTACTACTACTACTTCTACTACTACTACGGCTACTACTAACAATCCTACGGCTACTACGACTACTACTTTGATTACAAATAAAAGTATGGCTACTACTACTACTACTACTACTACTACTACTAGTACTACTGCTACTACGACAAGAACAACAACAACTACTACTACTACTACTACTATTGCGACTACTACTACTACTACTACTACTACTACTACTGCTACTACTACTACTATATTTTCTACTACTAGTACTAGTACTACTACTACTACTACTACTACTACTACTACTACTACTACTACTACTACTACTAGTACTACTACTACTACTACAACTACAACTACAACTACAACTACTACAACTACTACAGCTACAACTACTACTACTACTACTACTACTACTACTACTACTACTACAACTCTACAACTACAACTACTACTACTACTTCTACTGCTAAGGCTACTACTACGACAACGACATGTGCAACTACTTTTGCGACTGATGCCTATATTCCTCCTTGCATGCTTGTCCCCACTGCTGCTTTTACTCTTAGCTTCCACGTCAGGGGAGCAAACATCTACTATTTAAGATTTAGGGTCCGCGCTGGCAAGCGTTTCACGTACACGTCGAGGGAGGCGTGCGCGCGTTAGGGTCGGGAGCTGAGCATGCCACCGCGCGTGAAGGGGCGTTGACGGGCGGGGGGGCTCAGAGAAGCGACCAGGACGTGGCGAGCGCGACGGCCACGCTGAAGAGGCTGAGGCCGAAGCGTGCCGGCGCACCGCTGAAGGTGCACTGCACCCGCTCTGCGATGATGGGGCTGGCTCTGGTGACCATGCTGTGGGCTGCCTCCTGTAGTAAACCAGACAACGCCATAGCCATAAGCGTCCGGATGTCCGTGTGGATTTCTCGAAACATTTCCCCACACCGCCAGGCATCGCACCCCGACGCGCTCAGCACAGTGACAACAGAAATCTGTGCGGACCTCCGGAAGCTTACGCTGACGTGCGCTGTTTGTTGATATTCGACTCCTGCAGGCCGCCAACCTCAAGTCGCGCCATGTTCAGGAAAGAGCCCACGAACGTGGTGATGTTCGGGGAGACCTGCAGCACCCTCTCCATGTTGGGAAGTACCCTCGTAGACACGTTCTCGATCACCTTGCCAATGGTCTCAAGCTTTGAGTCATCCGCCATCATGCTCCCTGGTACGATGAGGCGAGGAAGGATGCCGAGTGCCGTCTGGTAGAGTTGCTGTCAGTTTCTTAAGCCCCACCCCGCACTCTCGTCACACTTACTTGCGTGCATCCTACCCTCTCCCGATGGTCCCTGGGCGGTTTGATGCCCTGTTGGGGCTCCCCGAAGAATCCAACGTTCCCAATGTGGCTTCCAAGATGCCCCAGTCAAGATACCGCAGGCCACAAAGATGGCCCAAGATGCCTCCCCCCCCCAAACGGCACGAGTTGGCCCCAAGATGGCCTAACATGGCCCGAACTCGGCCAACGACAGCCGCACGTTGGCGCAAGAGTCCCCCAAGGCAGTGCAAGAGGGCTGCAAGAGGACCCCCAGCAAGTGGTCCGACGAAACCGAAATAATTGATTTCCCGGTGGTTTTCTACAGCTTTCCAAGTGCTCACCGTTTCGAGGTTCCGCCAGCCCGAGACGGGCCAAGAGGCCTCCACAACATCCCTGAGGCGCCCCAAGAAGCGCCTAAGATGGCCCAAGCGGCCCAAGAGGCTCAGGACGGCCCAAGGAGGCCCAAGAGTGCCCAATAGGCCCCCAAGTCGACACGTCAGGACCCCGAGGGAGACCTTTGACGGCACAGGCAGGGCCTCAAGAGGGCCTCCGAAGGCGCCAGACTGACCAGGAGCGCCGAGGAGGCCCCGTGAGACTGCACAACGCCCCCTAAGAGGCCTCCAAGGAGTCCCCAAACCAAGAAGGAGGAGAGAAGAAAGAGGAGGAAGTGAATACGGCGACGAACACGAAGAGAGACACGACGCGAAAGAGCGTGTCGCATCCTAAGGCACTCCCAAAGCTCCAGGCGCGAGGTGCCAGACGTCACGGTGCCATGTGCGCTCTCCGAAGAGTCGCCGCCCAGAATGCTGGGCTGGCATGGTGGCAGGCCTTGCCATAGGCAGCTGGATAGTCGCTCACGTTTGCCATGATCTGGGTGATCTGGTCGCAGGCCTCCTTTAGAGGCCTCCCAGGTTGTGTCGGCATCGATGGTGTCGAAGGATCGCGCCGCATCGCCGCTACGTTGCCGATGCGTCGTCGACGCATCTGGGATGCAACGGCGACGTCGGTGACGCATCCGCGGCGTCGGCGTGGAGGAAATCGGGCTCCATATCGAGCCGCATCGCCGATGCATCGGCAATGCGGCACGATCCTCCGACCTCAGCTGCTACGACCCCATCTGGGAGGCCTAGATCCTTGGGGGTGGCGGTGGCCAAGCTGGTGGCGTTGATCCTGAGGCGGACCGTGTTTGCGTTCAGCTGGCCGAGGAAGGGGAAGAGCGCCCTCTCCAGGTCCTCTGGGACCGTGCGACGGAGCATCTGGATGGCCTTCAGGCTGTCCTGGTGGAGACCTCGGAGACGGAAGCCAGACTCGTGGAAGAACTTCGCCATGATGAAACGAAGCTCAACGTCAGAGGCGGAAGTGCTGTCTTTGACAAACTGGGTGGTCTTCTGCTGCGTCTGGTCCAAAAACTTCCGGACGTTCACGTCCACCCTCTTTGTCACGTTGCGGAAATCCTCCACGAACTCCTCGTCCTGAAGCGCCTCCGGGAGGGCCAGGACGACGTCCACCATATAGCTCATGTTCACACCCGCGAGGCCACCCAGAGAATCCTCCAGCAACTGCTCCGCACGCGCTGTCATGTCCGTCTTGGCCTGCCGCCGGCTCTCCTTGATCGCCCGGCGCTCCTCCGCCTCGGCCATCCTCTCGCCCATCAAGATCTTCCTCCGCTTCTCGGTGGCCAGCCTCAGCTTCTTCATCGCCAGGTTGGCGGCCAGCTTGGCCACGTCCAGCTCCTTCTTCGACACCATGAAGTCCTTCACGGCAGGGCCACGGGGGCTGGCGCACAGACGGCCAGCGGAGTCGGCACGGGCTGGCCCCAAAAAGACGTCTGGGAGTGTTCACGAGCTGCGACATGGCCACGCCTTCGCGGCCTGGCTGCCAGGCTTCCTGGGCGCGATCCCATGGACACGCGGTCGCACAGGTACGCTCCGAGCGGGGCTTACGCGACAAAAGCGCACCGTTTCCACGGTGTTTGGAGGCATGGGCACGGCACCAAAACCAAGACAGGGGAGGGGGGGGCCTCCCCCAAGAATGAGACGATCCTAGATGTTGGTGCCGGTGGTGATCTGCCGTTTACCTAGGAAGCCCGAATATCACCACCAGCACCCAGAACGGGATCATCTTCCTTCGGTGTAGGCACCCCGCCGATGCTGGTCTGGCACATCGTCCTTCGAATCGACCTCTAGGCCTCCCAGCTGTCGCGGCCTGGAGGCCCGGCCGGCGAGGCTCACCAAGTGCTGGGCGGCCGCGCGGCACCCAGGCCGCATTGGCCGCCAGAGCCGGCGCAGGGGCGCTGAGAACTCCCTGGGCAGGCGACCACAGGCGAGCCCTGCTTCTGTGGCAACTCGCGTGAGCCTCCCATACCATCTTGCTGGCTCCTGCGAGTCAACACGAATCGACGCTGGTCGACCCTAACTCGACGCTGGCTCGACGCTGAAAGGGCGCCATCCTCGAATACCAGACGCAAGCGAACGCTGACGCACCCTGAAGGCGGAATCACGAGGACATACAAGGCTCCGATGATTGGCTGACAGACCCTACCCCGCATGTCAGATTACAGGAAATGCCAGGTGGGGATCGACACTTGAAGGATGTCTGCAGCAAGGTGAACCCAAGCGCCAGTGTCCGATGCCCCAGCGTCGATCGGACCCGCAGGGGCAGGGCTCGCAAGTGGCCTCAGCAGACTGGGGCCGCCCCGTGGGGGGAGCCTGCTCGGGCCAGCCTGGGCTCATGTGCCTCCGGGGGCTGTCCGTGCATCGCTCCGGGCCGCGCTGGTCCTTCATCGTCTCCTTCAGGTGCGCCTGCTTCTCCCGGAAGATGGCCATCAACTTGGGGTCGAAGTACGTCGACAGGTTGGCCCTGCTGGCGTTGCCGTCCTCGGTGGCGTTCTCGGCCACGGCCTCGGACGCGTTGGCGGACGCCTCGCGGCTGCACGCAAAGCACTGGCCCTAGGCAAGGGTGACCTCTGGTGAACGGCTTGCCGCCCGTTGCGTACGATTCGACAGCAGCGACCTCATTGCTGGGGCCTGTCCTCCCCCCACGCCCCCCCGAGAGCCGCGCACCAAGCAAGGGTCACTCTGGCGAGGGGTCGCTCTTGCAGAGAGGCTCGAAGTTCGGTGCAAACCGAAGTGGCCAGGGGGGTGGCCAGGGGGCCGGAAGCGCTGGCAGGAGCTGGAAACGAGTCCGAGACGCGTGCGACGAGGTCGCCGGGGTGGGAAAAAAGCTGCCGGTAGGTTGGCCAGAGCTGGAGAGTGCGGAGCAGCTGCCGTGGCAAGGCTCGGCCCCACGAGAGGCGCCCCCCCCCCCAGGAGCCGAGAGCCCGAGGGGCGAAGTCGCCAGGCAAGGGACAGCTGCAGGGAGACTGGCCAGAGCTGGAAGAGATGAGGGCCAGCCCAGACGTGCGATGTCTAACTTGTTCAGTACGGGGTCCCCGCTGCGAGGGCCCCCAAAGGTCGAACAGAACCAAACGCATCCGTGCTGTGTTGAATCACGTTCGATCTCGGAGCTCCAATACCGCTATCTCCAGAACTCTCCCAGGATCTCGGAGGCAATCCAATGGTGGCGACGAGAGCCTCCGAGGAGCCCCCAAGAAAGCTAAGATAACCAGGCAAGGGGCAAGGGTAGCAGTGTCGGTACTTTCCTCCTCTGACCATCGAGCCGCCCCTCTCAAAATATCCCTGCATTGAGTATGGACCGACCGTCCCGGCATTCCTGTACGCCTACCACGCAGTTTTCCCTGAGCAACAGACTGCTCGAATAACAAACCCAATGTCCTTAGAACCTGAGTCCGATGTTTTCAACAAAGACTGTCCCAGCCAGACATGTCATTATAATAGCTCGCGCAAGCCACAAAGGGTTCTTGCAACATTCCATGCTGGGCCTATACGGTCGCGTGTCGCCGCGGCGGCCCCAGCGACACGCTATGGTTTGCAAGCTATGGTTTGCAAGCGGATAGCGTGTCGTTCCACTCCGAGGGGTTGGAGGCCCTGTCAGTCTGGGGAGAGGTTGACGCTGGGGGGCCTGGAAGTGGATAGCGTGTCGCGCCAAGGGCCGCTGGGCCAGAATCGGCGGCGCGACACGCCATCCAGAAGGTACCGATACCGCTACTCCGCGGACCTCTCCATGGGGTGCGTTCTGACCAGGATGTCGAGGCGAATCCAGCGGTGGCGCCCAGGGCCTCCCGGGAGGCCCAACAACGCGACGTCGAGACAGGGGCAGCGGCCTCGGTAACTCTCCCCCCTCTGACTGCCAGCGAGTCTGGACGCCCCGCCACTGCTTCACTGCAGCGTCGTGCAGCCGAGCCTCCTCGGCGCCGGCGGCCCGTGCGGCCGGGGCCGCCTCCGCGGGCGGGGCCTCGGCGGGGGCGGCCGCCTCGGCCGCCGCGGGCTCGGGCGCGGCGTCTGCGGGCGGCTCCTCGTCGGAGACGTTGGCGAGGAGGTCCGCCTCCTCCTCGGCGTCGCCGTCCGCCGCCGAGGCGGCCTCCTCTGGAGTGAAGGACTTCCCCGCAACAGTTGAGACGAAGAGCCAGGACGAGGATCAATTCGGGTGAGGATGCATCGAGAATCTCTGAGATCTGTCGGCTCCGGGGGATGTCCCGGGCGCCGCGGCCTTCTCAGAGCGTCGAGGAACACATTGAGATTGTCCTTGCACGCTCTGGAACGGACTATTCTCGTCCTAGCCCCCGCCTGGAAAGTGCTTGCACTTGAGGGTTCTTGCTTCTGTTATGAGGAACCGGGCAGGTTGGGCGGTCTGGCGGCTAGGCGGCCGTCTCCGCCCCGTAGCCGCCTCGCCGCCGCCCGTCATCTGGCCCAGTTGGGCAGTTGTTGTGCTTGTTGTTCCAGCGCAGTTTCGGGAGAAGACGGAGGGCCAAGAGGGAGGGGACGATTGCGCCAAGCCCAAACGTGCACACGCTTGCCATCAGTTCTGGTCATGAGGCTGCGTCCCTGCGGATGTTGGAAGGAGAAACTGCAAGCGGACGCCAAGCCTCAACTGCTAGCTAGCATTACATGGCGAAAACCGCCGCACCACTGCGCTGTAAGAAATACCTGCCACCACTGTGCTATGTGGGGCACCTGACACCACTACGCGAAAAGAGGTACCTGACACCACATCGCTGTAAGAGGTACCAACATTACGCAACAAGAGGTGCCTATGGAATGAACGACTTGGGGGCTACAGTCGAGTTCGCTTGAAGAGGACACGCGAGAAGACAAACGACCCGTCCGAGGGCAACATCGCCATAGGATTGTAGAAGGCATGGGTCGCGAAGCACAGGACGCAAGGTCTGACCGATCATTCAAACTCGACTGTGCTGCTATCTGCTGGCGCAGCTCGAGCCTGCCCGAACAAGCCTGACCACCCTTTCGTCGTGCACATGGGTGGTTGGCCGATCATGCAGGCGGTCCACGCGGGACGCCCGCCCCGACCATCATGTGGGGGTGCAAGATGATGGTAATGAACTGTGGGCCCCTGTAAGTTGCAATACGAGAACCCCTAATCCTTTAAAAAGTGACCTCAGTTAGGAGGGCCACGCAGGGTGTCTTTTCTGCAGATGTGCCAGACGAAACCACCCGCATGTTTAGGGAAGCCCTGAATTAGACCATGAATTCATTGTCTTACCAGGGTCATGGGAACACTTAAAGGTACGGATGCTGCTACTCCGGGGACCTCCTGGGGTGCGTTCTGATCAGAATTTCGAGGCGAACCCAGCGGAGGCGACGAGGGCCTCCCAGGAGGCCCAAAACGGGGAAAACGAGGGAAGGGTAGCGATATGGGTGCCTTTCCTCGTCTGGGATTAAGGGCTCCCATGGGTTCTCTGACGCGTGCTGATCCTGCAGCAGCGCCTCCGCGGCAAGCAGCTCGGCCTCCATCATCGAGGGGCCCGCGTCCTCTGCGAGGCCGCCCGCGCCCTGGAGCGTCAGCGAGGAACACGCCGGCAGCAGCGCGAGGCACACGGCCAGCGCCCGGACGGCCATCGCGCCGAGGTTAGGAACCGAAGGGGGAGGCCTACCCAGACCCCCTCGAGTCATGACTAAAAATGACGACCGAAAGTTTTTCGCCTCGGGGGGCCCCAACATGGCCTCGGGATCAAGAGAAAAGCCTCAGGACGGAGAACCAGTCCCGGGGAGTGGGTCGAGACCTCTGGGGGTCGACGTCATGAACAATCACGACGTCGGGGGCCTGGGTATGGGACCCCTCAGATCCCGGCGTTGCATTTTGTCCACAACAGGAGTTGCCGCCTGGTTTCGGGCCAGGGGATCCTCGCAAAGCGACCCGGGTCGATAAACGCAGCAGAAACATGGGGTCGGAGGCTTTGGTAGCGGTTTTTCGCGATGCTGCTACTTCTCGCAACGTCGGATCTCAGGGATGGGCGCGTGCCGCCAAGATCGAGGAGTTCCCGCCTCCACCAGACTGGGGTGGTCTCCGATCGCGGTGGTTGCGGACATCTACCCATCAGGAATATTGATAAAATTACGTAAACTTCCGTGGGCTCCAGACTTCGCTCGAAAGATCCAGTCTCTAGACTGGACCCCGGGCGCTCTCTTGGAGCTTCTTTTCCTCGTAGACGCGCGAATTGGCCTGCTGGTTACGGGAACGCTTGGAGTGAAGTCGATGTTCTTTGCCTGAGATTATCTCGGGGGCGGCAAAGAGGGGGGTGTCCAAGAGGGGGGGGTGCAAATCATGACCGGCGGCATGTGCGCGGCCCCGCGGGGGGGCCAGGGACGTAATGAAATAAGAAGAGGCGCCATGAAATCTGGGGAAATATCATGGCCCACGCCATGGTATCCACCCCCCCCTAGTCATCACCCCCCTCTTTTCCGCCCCCGATTCTCGTAACTCTAAGCAGGGCACATCAGCAGCCTCCTGCCCGGCCCTCGCCTCGGCTCGCGGGCTCTGGCGGGGTGGGCCACCTGCCGCGTTGCCAGGCCTTGGCTGCGGTGGCCCCGAGGAGTCGGCTCCAGGCGAGTGACTGGCCCTGAGTGGCTGAACCATAGGGGACCGACTGTACCAGACCCCATCGAGTCCTTAAAACATATCGACGGGAGGTTTTTCGGCTGATTCAGCCTCGGGGGGCCTTCACAAGGCCGCGGGACTTTGAAAAAACAGCTCTGGAGGAAAGGCCGGTCCCGGGGAATGGGTCCAGACCTCTGGGGGTCGACGTCATGAAACAATCATGACATCGGGGGTCTAAGGACTGGGGTCAACGCAGACGCAGGCCAGCCGGACATCCCAAGATCCTGCAGAAATCCTGCAGGAGGATCCTCCGTGCGCTAGCCCGGATCGATGCAATTCTGACATTGCAAGATCCTGCAAGATCCGGCGATCCGGCTGATCCCCGCTTGTCTTGCTCCCCGTCTCTACCAGCTCGATAAACACATTACTGCTGCAAGGGTCCAGGGTCGAACTCTCTCGGCGGACGTAACAAACCTAACCCTGGCGGCTACGTGCCAATCTATAGGCATGTGGACCCAGACCTTCGATTGCATGATCTTCAAAACTTCGCACGGTGGAAGCTGTGTCCTCAGGCAAGCGGGTCATGGATCCCGGTGCTTGCCCCAGGACGGGCTTCTCAGGCGGACTCGTTTTCGGAGGGCCCTGGTGTCCAAGAAGGACCGCAGGAGGCTGAAACAAGCAAGCCTCCTCAGGGCTCCTGTCCATCAACACCCCTTCTCTTCACAACGAGCACTTGGGGTTTTTGGAGCTCCGGGACGCTTGTCTGGATTTCGCGCCGTGAGCTGCCCGTGCAGGACCTGGCTGCAATCACTCTGAGAAACTCGCCGTCCTGAGGTTCCAATGTTGTGCCTTTCTCGCGGCCAGTCGTCAGGACTCAAGAGGCTCCAACGGCGCCTCCCTCGCGGCCAGATCGCCACTACCAGTCGATGCGGCACGGTTCGCGTACATTAAGCCATGAGGCCCCGAGTGGCTCCGAGGCCTCTGCTCAAGGACGGATTCAGGATCGGTGGAAGTCGAAGTCTCCGTTGCGGAAGCGGATAACTCCGACCTGATGGACGCGGGAGGTCTGTGAAATGAGCAATCAGGTAGTACAGTATCTGCAAGTCGAGGCACGTCGACCTGAGCCAAGACTGGGCACGGCCTCCTTCGTTGCATGGTCACCCTTCCTCGAACGTGGTCGTCCTTCCTCCACCCGCAGCTGCTCTTCATTTGCAACCCCTCCTCATCGCGCCATCAGAAGTGCCAGTGGGGCGACCAAGGCATTTCGCATGATGCTTCCCCACAACTTCTGATCAAGGAGCTGAGAGCTCCCACCAGATATAAGGATGGAGGGCGGCATGATGTTAGAATGTAGCTCCCCCCCTGGAGACTCGAACCTTCGTTTGACGACTTGTCAACGGCTGCGCGGGTGGTTGCGAGATCGTTTTCACCAGGTGCCCCGTCTCGATCAACACCGACGCACATGTCTTCAGAATCATTCAGTGGTGTTGGGTCATCGTTTTGAATACGCATCGCCGCGCGTCCTTCCTTCCTCACCTCATCCCCCTCCTCCCTTATCCCCTTCCTGCCCCTGCTCTCCGCATGCCCATCTCGACACACCCCTCACACGTCTCGTGGCCCCATGAGGAGCTCCCACTGAGGCCCCAGTTGGTGGTACCGCATAGCGTCCCTCAGCCCATAGCGGCACATCCCTCACACGCTTCGCGGCCCCTTAATGAGCTCTTGCGAAGCCCCCAGGGGGTATTGCGGCACGGTGTCCCACAGCCCGTTCCCGCACACCCCTCACACGCTTCGTGGCCCCCAAAGGAGCACTTCCGAAGCCCCCAGGGGATGTTACCGCATAGCGTCCCCCCGCCAATTTCGGTGCACCTCTCACGCGTTCTGTGGCCCCTAGGGAGCCCCACCTGGCAGAGGCCCCAACGGGTGCGACAATACCGGTTCCCCTCCAACCCGGCGCATCCCTCCATGTTTTGTCCCCACTGGGTGCGTCCACATGCGGTTCCCCGCCCATGCCGGCGCACCCCAGATACGTTCCGTGGTCCCACCAGGAGATCCCCCCTCCCTCGTCCCATCTGCCTTGCGATTGGCCCTCTCCAGGCCATGCGATGTTTTGAACATTCTTAGCGGCTGCACGTGCGGACACATCGCTTGCACCGGCTTCCGCCAGCCTTCCGCCAGCTTCCGCTTCCGCGGAGGCGGCCTCGTTCTTTGCGTCGCCCGCCCTCCGCCGACCCTCCGCCGGGGAAGAGGTGGCAAAACTCCTTCGGTGCGGAAGGCGAGGCCCTTCCTGGAACGCCTACAGCCACCCCGTAGAATAAGGACGCACGAGAAGGACGCAAGGGCCTTGGAACGCCATGCCGACACATCACGAGCGGGGCGCGGCCAGCGGAAGCGGCCGAGGATGGGCCGAATGGGGACGGATGCAGGGGTGACGCTGGAAGGTCGCTCATCATCACCATGCGGGTTGGCTGTACAATAGCATGTCGGAGCCGAGGCGGATCGAGCTGGCCAGAATCAACACCTGATCGGATCGATCAGATCGAAGTGGACTCTGTCCCTCCCCTCCAGTCCTCGTAGCCCGCACAGCCGCACGAAGGGCCGCGCCTGGAGGACAACGCCGCCCTCTCGGGGGCCGGCGAGCCTTCTCCGCGGTCGACGACCTCACGACGTCGACACGGCGTCGGCACCGCCGAAGGCGACGAGTTCGACGGGCGGCGATCGCGGCGACGGCGACGACGGCGGCGACGGCAACGGCGACACGACTTCGACCCTGGCGTCTGCGACGTTGACGACGACGACGACGATGACGACGACGAAGGCGTTGGCTGCGACGACGACGGCACTGGCGACCGAGCGCCCGAACGCCAGACGGGCGACGGGCGCGGCGGAGGGGGGGGAGCGACGCCGCCTCTGGCTCGTCGATGGCCGCGCATACCGTTGCGGCGTGGATCTTCCTCAGGGGAGCACTTGCTGCGGGCCGTGGCCGTGGCCGTGGCCGTGGCCGTGGTGGCCGTGGCCGTGGCCGTGGCCGCGGCCGCGGCCGTCGTCGTCGTCGTCGATATCGTTGTCGTCGATATCGTCGTCAACGTCGTCGAGGGCAAGGCAGTCCAGGAGGGAGGAGGCGACGAGGCGCAGGAGGCGGAGGTAGGAGGAAGGTCGAGGCTCCAGGGCACGCGGATGTCTGAGAAAACGGTTGCTTCTCTCGGGCCCTGTCTCCGCGTCCTCGTCGTTCGCATCATCCTCCACCTCCTTGGCGAGCTCCCGCTGCAGACATCCCACGAAAGCTGGACCGTCAAAATCCAGGACGCACGCGCTCGTCAAAAAAAGTCGGCAGACCCGAGATGCGGCGACCTCGAGTCTGACGTTCCCCCGAGAGGAGGAAGATCGACAATTTTCGTGGGTCCTCGGAGAAATCGCCGCGGCTCCTTCGGCCGGGAGGCCCTCCAGAGGCATTGCCGCAGAGGCCCCTGGGCCGGGCAGATTCGAGACGGCCAGACACGGCAAACGTTGGCCAAAACCGACAGCCAGCGCTGCAGGGGCAGACGACGACTTCGCCCCGAGCGGAACACGTCCGGTGCGGCAGCGGTCGTCTTGAGGGAGCTCTTGGGGTCATATCGTGGCTCCTTTTTGGGTTCTTTGGGGCCGCTTTGATGCCCTCAAAACAATTAGAATGCGATATTAGACACATACGTTTTTTAGCAGCACCCCGCGGAACGGATCAACCTCACTCTCGGAAAGCTCGAGGAAGGCGCCCTGTGGCTAAAGATCAGAGGGGGAAGTAGCAACGAAACGAACACCAGCGATCCAACGTAGTCGGTTGAATGAGAAGTTGCAGCCAGCCCATACAGGAAGACCGCACGATGAGGATGCAAGGGCCTTGGAAGGACATGTCGACACTTCGCGAGCGGGGCGTGGCCAGCGGAAGCGGCCAAGGATGGGCCGAAGGGGAAGGATGCAGGGGTAACCTTGGAAAGTCGCTCACCTTTACTATGCGGATTGAGTGACCGCCACGGAGACCGCGAGCGAGATGCGCCCGACCGCGAAGGTGCCCCTCGTCCCGTACGTAGGGCAGGGCGAAGCTGGGAGGCGGCTCGGGGATCTGAAGTGGATGGGGCCAAAAAAGCGATCGAGACCAACTCCGCTCAAAATCGGCCCCAGTCCCTTGCCCGGGTTCATCTGGTGCAATTCTTCAGCCTGGATCCTTTTCTGACGGTCCTGGACCCGGAAAACGGCGCCTGGAGGCCGAAAAAGGCAACAACAACTTGTTGAACCCGACATCCGACATCTCGAACCTGCCTTCCCTTGCTGCGGGCCGGAACCAGTGCTGGTAACAGGGGATATGTCGACCCTTATCCCAGGCTTCGTGGGGTTGTCGAGTGACCAAAGATTGTAGGCACAGCCCTGGATATACGATGGGGGGGCGTCGATCCTCGATAGGAGTGCGTCCGAAAATAGCCCCCTTGAGGTGTATCCCAGGGTTTACCTCCTCTTCTGATCGGCTTCAGTTTTCATCGAAAAGCCGGGGGGTGGGGAAGGACAATCTCCTGCGAGCTCAATGCACCACGCGACGACTTCGCAGCAGCAAGAGCAGCAGTGCAAGGAGCGCGGCGTTCACACGCGAGCGCTTCGGGGGCCCGGGGCTCCTGAGCCCCGCTCCCTGCCCCCCTTTTTCTGTACTTGGTCGAAGGGGGGGGACGGCCAACAGGGCGGGGGCTGCGGTGGTCTCCCGCCTCCCTCCCCCCTCAGGGGAAACTGAGGGACCACGGCAAGTTCGTGCGGCGTCGGCACGCGCACAGGACTTTAACATCGCGGCCCCGATCGGTCAACCTGGAATCCATCGCGGCCCCGATCGGTCAAGGTTGAAGTCCGTCGGGTCCAATGGCCTCACCGCGTCCCTCAGCGCTTCCGCGTCACAGCATTCAACCTTGAACGCCTACGCTGGCGTCGCTAGCGCGCCAACGCCGCATGAACCTCCCTTCTGGGAGGCAGCTCCTGGGAGGTCTTCGCCAGAAGGATCACAGGCTACAGTTGGACTCGATTGGACAGGACACGCGAGAAGACACAAGAACCTTCTGAGGGTCGACCTACTAATCCGGGCCGACTGTAGTGAGCTAGAGTGCGGTGCCCTTGGACCAGACTGCGCCAGATTGAGCCCGGGATGAGGCCAGACTAAGCGGGATTCTGCACGAGCTAGCGGGACCAAGCCGGATTCAGCCAGTGTCCGACCAAGGCAATACCTGGGCGAATTCAGAATCCCAATCTCCCAGGAGTTGCTTCGCAAGATGGGGAGAGAGGAGGGGCAAGGTCGTGGTGGACTGGAGGATGAAGGCTGGCCAGTTGCCGCTGTTTCTCCGCTCCTACCTCACACGAGACGGGGCATCAGGGTGCACGGGGGAAGAGGGTCGGCGAAAGCAAGGACATGTTTTCAAGACGCGGGTCCGCCAAAACCCGGACTCCTTCCACAGGGCAAGTGCTCGGCCGGGGAAACTTAGTTGACAGCGGAAGCGCACCCCAGAGGACCAACGTAATGCAGCATCTCCATCTCGATTTGGCCACCATGGGCGGCCGATCCCGGTAAGCGACCCAGTTTCTGGGTGGCCAATTCCATGTTTTGGGTTCCCCTGTATTGGAGAACTGGCGAAAATGTGCTGCCAATTTCGGTGGATGGCTGGGGTCCCAGGATCTCACTCCTGCGCCGCCCGCTGGTACCAGTGGACGGCCAAGTTCCCAGAGTAACAGAGAAGAGGGAATGGAGACTAGGAAACCTTTTGTTAGAATGCCCTGGGAGATTACGAGGAGTAGAGAGAATAGAAATAGCAGAGAGAAAGAGAGAGAGAGAGAGAGAAACAAGAAAAGCAAGTCGTCATGTCTTTACACTGCACACGGCATGAAACAAGGAGCGGAGGGCATGGATCAAAGCGCAGAGAACAGAGCATGAAGTACAGAGCCAGGCGTGGAAATGCCAAAGAGAGAGTCGAGCGTAAAGGGCGACGAGTAGAGCAAGGGCACCATGTTGAAGGGAAAGGGGTCAGAGAACATATCATAAAAATATAAACAATGAGTAGACCGCATGCCGCAGAAATTCGTCGGCCCAACGGGCCAGAGGCGTGCTAAGATCTC